CAGGAGGCTTCAGTCTCGTCAGTGTGCCCAGGGGAAGCAGGAGGCTTCAGTCTCGTCAGTGTGCCCAGGGGAAGCAGGAGGCTTCAGTCTCGTCAATGTGACCAGGGGAAGCAGGAGGCTTCAGTCTCGTCAATGTGATTGCCAGTGCTCCAATGATGACCTCAGTTATTACTGAGCAACATAGGGAATTAATTATTAAAATGGACAGGTTGTTACTGATTTGATAAGATAAAAATAAGCATAATGTTGCTGTTAGCCTAGCATTAATGTAATGCTATCTAGTCTGCTGTCGAATCTTTTGAGAGTATGTTCTCTTTGAATTAAAACAAAGAGCATAATAGTTTCTGTAACTTATAGTATAGATATGTTATTATTATGGTATTACAGTGTATTATTTATTATTACTGTATATATGTTATTTTTCAGGGATCTGAATTATATACAAATCTGACCTAATGATCTCTGGAATATATCTTGTCTGTTAACCCTGGGACTGCCTGTAATATATATAAAAAAGTGCCCTGACACCTATAACCTAAAATTTAATATTTCTTAAAATTTCTAGTAATAGTGAACACTTTTATTATATGGCTCTTTTTGTTTTTTTAAGCCTATTAGTTTGATGTATGTATATTTATCTTAGATATTAAATGGCCTAAATTTAGAACCCAGATCAAGTTTCAAGAGTAAATATGCAGGTTTTGAATCCTTTTTTTTTTTTTTTGAGACAGTCTTACTATGTTACCCTTGGTAGAGTGCTGTGGCATCACAGCTCATAGCAACCTCAAACTCTTGGGCTTAAGCGATTCTCTTGCCTCAGTCTTCTGAGTAGCTGGGACTACCGGTGCCTACCACAACACCTGGCTACTTTTTGGTGGCAGTTGTTCTTTAGCAGGACCAGGCCAGGCTTGAACCCACCTGCCTTGGTGTATGTGGCCAGCGCCCTACTCACTGAGCTAAGAGTGCCATGCCTGAATCATTTTTATATTAAAGAATTTTTGTTAACTTTTGCACTGGGTGCTATGGCTCATGCCTGTAATCCAAGCACTCTGGGAGGCTGAGGTGGGGGAAATCTCTTGAACTCATGATTGCTACTAAAACCAGAAAAACTATCTAGGTGTCTTGGCAGGCGCCTGTAGTCCCAGCTACTTGGGAGGTTGAGGCAAGAGGATCACTTGAACCTGAGAGTTTGAGGTTGCTTTGAGCTGTGATACCATGGCACTCTACCCAGGGAGGCTGAGTGAGACTCTTACCTAAAACAGGGATCCTCAAACTTTTTAAACAGGGGGCTAGTTCACTGTCCCTCAGACCATTAGAGGGCCAGTCTGCAGGCCCTGGGATGAGTCAGCTGCTAAGCAGGACAGGCAGCGGTGGCTAAAACACCCGGCGGGCCAGATAAATGTCCTAGGCGGGCTGCATGTGGCCCATGGGCCGTAGTTTGAGGACGCCTGGTCTAAAACAACAACAAAATAAGCCTTTTGGATATCTGCTTCTTTGAGATGAGGATTCACAGTTAGGTTTACTTTTTTTAAGGTGTCCTAAAGCACAGTTTTAAAAATGGGCAGGAAAGCAAAGCTGTGGAAAACATCTGTGTGTGGTGTGTCAGGAGAGATCGATTCCAGTCAACTGGGCAAACACTCTCCTTTAAGCGTTGTTCACACTGAACTGCCACGTTCATAGGTGCACACCCTAACAGCTGGAGGGCCTTGTGCGTGGTTGAACTTTCTGTTATCTCTCTAGTCCCTGTCAGTATGACAGTCACCCGGTGGCACAACAACTAATGGAACCTGTGATTGTCAGACTTCTATGGGAACTTGCTAAAGTACAGCTTGCTGGGCTCCTTATCCAGCATTTGTTTCTGGTGCGGTACTGTGGGGTGGGGCATGGGATTTTACCTTTCTCATACCTTCTTTGGTGTCACTGTGAATGTTGGTTGAGGGACCACACCCAGAAGAGCTGACCTGCTAAGTTGTGTGCTATTGGCAATGTCCCATTCACTGTAAGGACTCCTGTGAAAGGAAAAGGATGAGGAGATAAAGGGGTAAGCAGGTATGACTGTCTCAGGTGGGCCTGGTTAGCCCAGTAATCACCTTGGAATTCTTTTTTTTTTTTTTTTTTTTTGAGACAGAGCCTCAAGCTGTCCCCCTGGGCAGAGTGCTATGGCTTCACTGCTCACAGCAACCTCCAACTCCTGGGCTCAAGTGAGTCTCCTGCCTCAGCCTCCCAAGTAGCTGGGACCACAGGTGCCCACTACAACGCCTGGCTGTTTTTTGGTTGCAGCTGTCATTGTTGTTTGGCGGGCCGGGCTGGATTTGAACCCACCACCTTAGGTCTATATGGCTGGCGCCTTAGCCAGCCACAGGCTGAGCCACAGGCACCAAGCCCACCTTGGAATTCTTACGCCTTGTTTATTCCTTTGTTAAGTTATGTGGATTTGACAAGGTGGCAGAGGAAGCTGCTGTTACAGGGCCACACTTGCTTGTAGGTTATGAACTCCTGTTCTGGGATCTCCCATAAATAGAAAGTGATGCTGTGTCCTTGTGTCCCAGGGGCTGACATCGCTGAGATGATGCTGGATTTCATCGACTGGCTCGTTCAGCAGGAGTTTGGCCGGCGGTGTGTGGTCAGCATCAGAGATATCCTGTCTTGGGTTACCTTCATGAACACAATGGGGGAGGAAGCTGCTTTGAAAAGGCCGGAGATCATCTCCACCGTGACATCTTTTGTTCATGCTGCATGTCTGGTGTATGTTGATGGAATAGGTTCAGGTAGGTTGTCTGTCAGCTGGTGGGGCCCATGGGCTCGGATCCAGAGGAGCAGAAAAGGAGCGAGCCCAGGCCTCTCATCCCAGTGTCTGACAGAGGCCTCTAGGCAGCAGCGTTTCCAATACCCAGAGTGGCTTTCCTTTTCTCTGTGCTCTCTGAAAAGTGACCGGCGTAGTGTATAGACAGAAGTGGTGACTGAGCAGAAACAAGGACGTTGGCAGTGTGTTTATTTTTTAATCACTGGGTAACCCAATTCTTAACATGAGTGGTAATTTTTAGTTAATATATCTGAATCTTTTATTTTGTTTTACATTTACTATGATTTCATGAAATTAAATATTTAGGTTCTGGGTTTGTAGCCATGAAGATTTGAAATACAAATCAAATAGTGCTGTTAGTTATCCTGTGTATAGGTTGATTTATCACTGAGTGAATCTCGCTGCACAGTGGACGACCTACAGACTGGGGAGATGGGGCGGGGAGACTCCTTTTCTAAAATCCATGCTGCCAATCATCTTTAGGCTATAGTTCTCCGAAGGCCCTTCCCCCAGGAGCCCGTGCTGGAGTGGCTGCCGAGTGGGGGTGAAGCTTGGCATTGTGCTGTTGCTTGATGGACTCATCCTTGTGTCTTTTAGGGGTAACTTCCTCTGGATTCGGCACAGCCCTATTGGCTCGAAAAGAATGTCTGAAATTCCTCATCAAGAAACTTGCCAAAATTGTTCAACTCACAGAGTGTCAGAAAAAAGAATTGAAAATTTATGACAGAAACAAGGCCAAAGACTTCACTGGAATAGATAATCTTTGGGGAATTCACCCATTTTTTATACCGAGAGGTAAGAAGGTTTCTAAATGACTTTTATTGTGACTCTTAGTTTTAGTGTGTCATTGTCATGGTCATTTTTGAACTAGTTTATCTGAGTTAGAATCTGATTGTGTGGATGGTTGAAAATATATAACTGGCATGTAAAAATATGGGGAAATAGAGACTTCATCCTATGAGTTGATTGTAGAAGTATACTTATAAGCATTCAGAAAATGTCAGTTGATGGAATAAATGGATGAATGAATAATTAAAAGGGAAATTCAGTGGTCTAGGAGACAGTGGGATTGAGCTCTGATTCTCACTTTCATTCTAACTAGGCTTCCCTGACCAAGTATCTGAATGAAGCCATTAGATTAGGTGTCTTCCGAGGCATTGTAACATGCAGCTTATTGCTTCCACTGCAGTGCCACCTGTTCTTTGCCCTCACTTCTGCCCCACATTTATAATTGTGAGTGCATAAAATCTACAGAGGTAGCTGGCAGTTACTGGGAGTTCTGTGGTCAACACATAGGCGGCCCAAGCTCCTGACTGGGAACGTCACTTGTTCCCTCCCGAGAGCTCCTCCTCTGTTCAGTGGTGGTTTGTCCATCCCTGATGGCCACGTAGTCGAACCAGTAGACCCCTCTCATAAGCCACAGCATCAGTGCCCCTGTGGAGCGGCTTTCTGATGCTGACCTTGAGCTGGGGCCTTCCTGGCTTCTGTTTACCAAGGAGTGAAGTAAATGTTATCCTAGCCCCACCCCCTCCAGACTGGTGTACCCAAAGCCTCTTTCTTTTTTATTTGAGCCAGAGCGTCAAGCTGTTACCCTGGGCAGAGTGCCATGGCATCACAGCTCACAGCAACCTCTAACTCCTGGGCTCTGGCAAATCTCCTGCCTCCACCTCCCAAGTAGCTGGGACTACAGGCGCCCGGCTATTTTTTGGTTGTAGCCGTAATTGTTGTTTGGCGGGCTGGGCTGGATTCGAACCCGCCAGCTCAGGTGTATGTGGCTGGCGCCTTAG